GTTCTGAAGATGTGTGCCATACATTAATTTGGTCTTAGAGAAACACTATACTTCAAATTGAGTAAGTTGTAAAATCTTTACACAGCTTGTAAAGAAATATACCTTTTATGTATTAAAACTGGTATTAAGCCCTGGTCAGTTTTGCCCAGTTCTTAGATCATTGGCCCACAGACCAAAGGGTTCCGAGTTTGATTCCTCATCAAGGACATCTACCTTGGTTGCGGGTTCAATCCCTGCTCCAGTCAGGGTGCATGCGGGAGGCAACCATTCGATGTCTCTCTCACATCATCTATTGTTTTTTTTTCTCTCTCTCTCCCTCTCCTCTCTCCCCTCCACTCTCTCTCTCTCTCTCAAGATCAATGAAAAAAATATCCTCGGGTGAGGATTAATTAAAAAAACAAACAAACTGGTATCAGGAACAAACTTGAAGAATCACAAAAACTGCACAACAGCTAGGATAGGCAAAACGTTTAAAATCTGAAATAATGTTTAAAATTAAACACATTACAGAAATACAATATTTACTGTTCCTTTTATGTTAAGGCTCACACTGCTCACCTTTGTATATGTATTAACAATTTAAAATAGACATTTCGCCCAGCGACATAGCTCAGTGGTTGAGCATTGACCTATGGACCAGGAGGTCACGATTCGATTCCTGGTCAGGGCATATGCCCAGATTGTGGGTTCGATCCCCTGTGTGGAGCGTTCAGGAGGCAGCTGATCAATGACTCTCTCCCATTATTGATGCTTCTATCACTAAATACCAAGTGGTATAATGAACATAAAATTAGAACTATGAATTTACTAATTATCTTGATGGGAACCATAACAGATGCCTCTAGTCATTTTATGAACTGAGATTTTTCATAAAGTCCATTGATCTTTCTCAGAACATAAATATTACTTAAAGAATGGCCAATATACATAATTATTATACTTAAAACTTAGGACTAAAATTCTCTCCCTTCCTCTCTGAAATCAATAAAAAATAAACATTTTCTCTGAATGTTAAATCTCCTTTTACTCCATCACAATGTACATAACTTTCTTATAATGTTAAGAGCAAATCTTAGGGCTCATTTAATAATAATGATCACTTTGGATTTTTTAAATCCAAACCTGAGGATATGTTTGTGTGGGTGTGTGTTTTTAATTGATTTTAGAGAGAGAGAGGAAAGGGGGAGAGAAACATCAATGTGAGAAACATCAATTGGTTGCCTCCTGCATGTACCCTGACTGGGGATTGAACCCCGCAACCTGAGTATGTGCCCTGACTAGGAATCAAACCCACCACTTTTTGGTGTACAGGATGATGTTCCAACCAACTGAATCAAGCAACCAGGGCAATAATGATCACATCTTAACATTTACATTGTATTTTTGGTTAACAAGTGCTTTCATAGGGATTATCCCACCTGTAATCTTATAACCCTCAGAATAAGCAAGTTAATTAAAAATTTTTATGCTCTGGCTGGTGTGGCTCAGTTGGTTGGGCGTCATCCTGTGCACCAAAAGGTTGCCAGTTCAATTCTTGGTCAGGGCACATACCCAAGTTGCAGGCTAGATCCCTGGAAACCGATGGATGTTTCTCTCCTCTCCTTTCCTCTCTCCCTAAAAATCTATTTTTAAAAAAGTATTAAAAAAATTTTTTATAACAGATGCAAAAAAACTGTGTGTAGGTTTATATGCCTACAGGAAGATAACAGGGATAACAATAAATGAACTAAGCCATATTTAAAATGCTGAGCAAAGAGGGAAGAGATTATTAAATGAAAAGGAGAAAAAAAAGAGAAGGTAAAAGATTCATGATAGATTTAAACACTGTAAGGATAACAGGAAAGCTTGAAAAAGAAATACCATATTTTGGTGACTGCCATACAATTAAAGAGAAAGAAAAAAAAAGTTTTGCCAACACTGAGCTACTAATACCCAAAGAGAAACAGCCTTTCAGCAGCCTCTTTAATAAACAAACTCAGATGAGAATAAGTTCAAAATAAAAGATAAAAACAGTACACACATATATAATGTACCTATTAAAATGTTTATAGTATATAAAAATGCTTATGATGCCCTAACCGGTTTGGCTCAGTGGATAGAGCATCGGCCTGCGGACTGAAGGGTCCCAGGTTCGATTCTGGTCAAGGGCATGTACAGGTTGCAGGCTAGATCCCCGGAAGCCGATGGATGTTTCTCTCCCTCTCCTTTCCTCTCTCCCTAAAAATCTACTTTTAAAAAAGTATTAAAAAAATTTTTTATAACAGATGCAAAAAAACTGTGTGTAGTGTTTATATGCTACAGGAAGATAACAGGGATAACAATAAATGAACTAAGCCATATTTAAAATGCTGAGCAAAGAGGGAAGAGATTATTAAATGAAAAGGAGAGCCCTGACCGGTTTGGCTCAGTGGATAGAGCGTCGGCCTGCGGACTGGAGGGTCCCGGGTTCGATTCCAGTCAGGGGCATGTGCCTTGGTTGCGGGCACATCCCCGGTGGGGTGTGTTGCAGGGGGCAGCTGGTCGATGTTTCTCTCTCATCGATGTTTCTAACTCTCTATCCCTCTCCCTTCCTCTCTGTAAAAAAATCAATAAAATATATTAAAAAAAAAAAACGAAAAGGAGAAAAAAAGAGAAGGTAAAAGATTCATGATAGATTTAAACACTGTAAGGATAACAGGAAAGCTTGAAAAAGAAATACCATATTTTGGTGACTGCCATACAATTAAAGAGAAAGAAAAAAAAAGTTTTGCCAACACTGAGCTACTAATACCCAAAGAGAAACAGCCTTTCAGCAGCCTCTTTAATAAACAAACTCAGATGAGAATAAGTTCAAAATAAAAGATAAAAACAGTACACACATATATAATGTACCTATTAAAATGTGTGACCCCCAATTTCATTGTTACAAATTGAGCATAATTAAAGCATAGTGATTAATCACAAAAACAATATGTAATTATATATGTTTTCCGATGGTCTTAGGCAACCCCTGTGAAAGGGTCGTTCGACCCCCAAAGGGGTCGCGACCCACAGGTTGAGAACCGCTGTCCTAGATATTTAAAAATCACTTTAAGAAGGCAAATGTAATATTCAATGAAGATAATCAATAGTAAAAAATAATGGCAAGTCCTAAATAAAATATTTCACTTATTTTTAGCTTGCTAAGGGAAAAAAAACTCATTAATCAATAAAATATATTTTTAAAAAAATAAAAAAAATTTTAAAAAAATGCTTATGAAATTAATAAAGATACAAAAGTGAATACAGTATAACATGATATAAAATAAACTATAAAAAAGGATTAGAAGGAAACATACAAAAATTTTTATAGCTACTATCCTTGGGAAGTAAGACTATGGGCTATGTGTTTTACTATATAAAACTTTAATAACTATATAAATATACATGTTAAGTTTTGGAATGTGTTTTTGTATTTACATCTCAATTAATGGTGGGGTAAGGATATTAGTGGAGAGAACTTGCTGTGTGGGGGCAGGTAACTAAGGTTCTACTTTTAATTTTGCCACTAATTAGCTCTGTGACATTGGTCACATCATTTATCTTCACTGAGTTCTGGTTTCATTGTTTATAAAATGAAGAACCCTGGGTACAGTGACCTCTTCAAGCTCTAACACTGATGCAGTTGTATTTACTCTGTTCATATATTCAAACTGAAGAGCTATTAAAATTCTAAATACCAAGTGGTATAATGAACATAAAATTAGAACTATGAATTTACTAATTATCTTGATGGGAACCATAACAGATGCCTCTAGTCATTTTATGAACTGAGATTTTTCATAAAGTCCATTGATCCATTTTTCTTTTCAACTTCCGAAATATGTTGCTATTATGTGCCAATGCAATAAATGTTAAAAATTTTAATAGTAAAGGTATATCTAGTAACAGGAAGAACAAGGAGGGAGGTTGAAAAAAATTGAAAATATTGATAATTACTTAGGAAATAACACTTGAGCTAAGAAGCATATGATTTCTTTCATATGTGGGATATAAACTCATAGACAGACAGACAACAGCATGGTGGTTACCAAAGGGAAGGGTTGGGTGATAGGGGAGTAGTAAAGGATAAAGAATACAGAATTTTCCCACAAATTCAAGACTGGAAAATCTTTGATAAGAACCCAAAAATCTTCAGAATCCAAAAAAGAACAACAACCCACTGTATTATAGATGTCTAAGTCTATCACATTTTGACAAAATTTTTAACCTCTGAATACTTTATATTTCCTTACATATAAAATAAAAGGATCAGATGAGATAATGAATGTGAAGAAAGTGCTCTATAGACTGGAAAACATTATATTAGGCTACACCTGGGATCTGACTTCCAAACAAAATCAAACTAAATTATAATTATTAGCAAATTATAATATGCTAAGTGAATCTGTATCAACTATTGGTGACACTGTACCATTCCATTACATGGAAATTTTTTTACAAGGGATTTCATAAAATCATATTCCACTGAGGAGAGTACAATAGGCCTGAGTGTAGATAAGACACAGACCAAAAAGGGAAGACTTAACCCCTAAGCTTTATGTTGTTAGAACAAATCCTAATGCAATTTGCCAGAACTCTTAGAATATTGGCCCAGGATTTTTTCAGGCCACTGTGGCTAACTAACAAGATATTTAGTTCTCCGAGTCACCCTATAGGGAAGGTGTAAGACTATTTTGAAACTTTTTATGCCAATTGCATATGAAAAGTACTGCTGCTCCGGGTAATCACATAGCTCCTCTCTGCTCTTGTCGCATTACGTTCACTAAATATATGATTTTTAAAACACAACATTTCTTCTACTAATCACATTGATCTAAGAGCCTCATAATTCAAAACACTTTATAGAAACTGTAGAAAACATATTTTGTTGGAAGCCCAAACCCTGGGATCAAAAACAGACTATCATTATATCAAACATGTCTCCACGCCTGTTGTTCCTTGTCCTCTCTCACACTTGACTACACCCCATTAGAACTCACCTTATCCTTGCAAGGCCTTTGACAGTTTTGTGCTGCACACACGGCATTCTCATCATCAGATTCCTCTGCTCCTGACCAGTCATACTTTGAGGGGATGTCCAGCACTTTTCTTTCTCTCTTCTTCTCAGTATTCTCTTTCACAAGTTCAACTTTGGCTGCAGCAGCCTTCTCCTTCTTTTTCTTTCTCTCTTCTTCTTTTGCTAGTTTCTTGGCCAGTTTGTTCAGCTCCTTTGCTTTTTCTGCACTTAATTTTAATTTCTTCTTTTTAGGTTTATCCATTTTCTTTAACTCTTTGGACTTCTGTTTTCCTTCTCCAAAAAGTTGTTCTACCTTTTCTAGCTTCCGTTTCCTTTTCTTCTCTGAAGAGTCCTTTCCTTTTATTTTTAATGGTTTCTCCTCCATGCTGTCATCCTTCAAAAATATAAAATTACAAACAATTTTTAAGCAAGACATTTAAAAACAGTTTTGTTCTCTTATGTGAGGTATCTTGAAGTGTCAAATACATAGAGAAATGTATAGTAGAGGTTACTGGGGGAGACAGAAATGGGATTTATTGTTTAATGGGTACAGAGTTTCTGTTTGGGCTAATTTTAAAAGTTCTGGAAATAATGGTGATCATTGCACAACATTGTGAAGGTAATTAATACAACTGAATTGTATACTTAAAAAGTTAAAATGGTAAATTCTGTGTAGTGTACACTGTACTACAATGAATATCCTAGATCAGTGGTTCTCAACCTTCCTAATGCCGCGACCCTTTAATACAGTTCCTCATGTTGTGGTGACCCCCAATTTCATTGTTACAAATTGAGCATAATTAAAGCATAGTGATTAATCACAAAAACAATATGTAATTATATATGTTTTCCGATGGTCTTAGGCAACCCCTGTGAAAGGGTCGTTCGACCCCCAAAGGGGTCGCGACCCACAGGTTGAGAACCGCTGTCCTAGATATTTAAAAATCACTTTAAGAAGGCAAATGTAATATTCAATGAAGATAATCAATAGTAAAAAATAATGGCAAGTCCTAAATAAAATATTTCACTTATTTTTAGCTTGCTAAGGGAAAAAAAACTCATTGTTAACATCCTATATAATAAAAGCCTAATATGCAAATTGACCAAACAGTGGAACAACCGGTGAAACAACCCGTCGCTATGACACGCACTGACCACCTAGGGGGCAGATGCTCAACGCAGGAGCTTCCCCCAGCCTGCAGGTCCCAGGCCAGCCAAGCCCTGATCACAGGCCAGGCCTAGGAACCCTACCCATGTTCAAATTTCATGCACTGGGCCTCTAGTATATTAACATAACCTGTAGCATCCACTTGAGATGAAATCATACACAGAAAGCTAAATGTACTAAATGTACATTTAATTACATAATAACTTTTTTGGTTTTCATTTACTACTACAATAGTTCTTCATTAATTCAATAAATTCTAGGTGGTTAAGAAGTTATTAGAAATGTTATCAAAACATACAAAATTGTATCATGATCTCAATACAAAAGGTATGTAGTGACTTTAGCAAGAGCTAGAAAATAGTTGATGTGACAAAGCAAAAAATATATCATTTTTCTTTTCAACTTCCGAATATTGTTGCTATTATGTGCCAATGCAATAAATGTTAAAATTTTAATAGTAAAGGTATATCTAGTAACAGGAAGAACAAGGAGGGAGGTTGAAAAAAATTGAAAATATTGATAATTACTTAGGAAATAACACTTGAGCTAAGAAGCATATGATTTCTTTCATATGTGGGATATAAACTCATAGACAGACAGACAACAGCATGGTGGTTACCAAAGGGAAGGGTTGGGTGATAGGGGAGTAGTAAAGGATAAAGAATACAGAATTTTCCCACAAATTCAAGACTGGAAAATCTTTGATAAGAACCCAAAAATCTTCAGAATCCAAAAAAGAACAACAACCCACTGTATTATAGATGTCTAAGTCTATCACATTTTGACAAAATTTTTAACCTCTGAATACTTTATATTTCCTTACATATAAAATAAAAGGATCAGATGAGATAATGAATGTGAAGAAAGTGCTCTATAGACTGGAAAACATTATATTAGGCTACACCTGGGATCTGACTTCCAAACAAAATCAAACTAAATTATAATTATTAGCAAATTATAATATGCTAAGTGAATCTGTATCAACTATTGGTGACACTGTACCATTCCATTACATGGAAACAAATAATGAAAAGAATATTAGAAATCAAATGCCAGTTAGAAACCAGGTCCCTCTGTTTTTACTACGTGTGACCTTAGGCAAGTTTCCACCTCTTGGATCCTAAATTTCTTCACATACAGAAGGGCTAAATACTTGCTCTGTCTATCCTTTTCACTCTCCCTTTCAGGATTATGGTGAGGATCAAATGAGATCATGGATCTATAAACACTGAATATATTATAAACTGTTACGCAAGTATAACAGACGAATGTGGACTCTCCATCTCCACTTCTATATAACCATTTCATTAGAAACCTTCATTTAAAAAAATAATTTTTTAATTCTTAACTAATTTTTATGTTTCAATTACAGTTAATGTACAATATTAGTTTCAAGTGTAAAACCCAGCAATTGGACATTTATATAACTTATGAAGTGCTCACTCCAAAGTGATCATCTATCTGACACCATACAAAGTAATTATATTTTTTACTATATGCTCTATGCTGTACTTTATATCCCCATGGACTTTCTATAACTACCAATTCATACTTCTTAATCACTTCACCTTTTTCACCCCCAAACCCCTCCCATCTAACAACCACCAAAACATTCTCTGTATCTATGGTTCTGTTTCTGTTTTGCATGTTCATTTATTTTGTTTTTTAGATTCCACATATAAGTGAAATCATATGGATTTGTCTTTCTCTGACTTATTTCACACAGCACAGCACCTTCTAGGTCCATCCATGTTGTTGCAGATGGCAAGATTTCATTCTTTATCTTTTTTTAATGGCTGAGTCATTTTCCACTGTATATATGCACCACATCTTTATTCATTCATCTATTGATGGACACTTAGGTTGCTTCTATTATCTTGGCTACTGAAAATGCTGCAATTAAGATATGGATGCATGTCTTTTCAATTTAGTGTTTTGAGTTTCTTCAGATAAATACCCAGAAGTGAAATAGCTGGGTCCTACTTTGTCTCTATATAATCTTTATTTTAGTCTATTTTGTCTGATAAAAGTATTAATACACCAGTTTTTATTTTCCTTTTCATTTCCATTGTCATGAAATATCCTTTTCCATCCCTTTACTTTCAGTCTATGTGTGTATGTGTCTTTTGATTTGAAGTGAGTCTCTTATAGACAGCATATGTAAGGGTTTTCTTTTGTGATCCATTCAGCCACCATTTATCTTTTGATTGGAGCATTTAACCCATTTCCATTTAAAGTAATGGTTGATAAGTGGTTTTTTGTTGTTGTTTTTTAATATATTTTTATTGATTTCAGAGAGGAAGGGAGAGGGAGAGAGACAGAAACATCAATGATGAAAGAGAATTATTGACTGGCTGCCTGCTGTACACCCCCTACTGGGGATTGAGCCCGCAAACTGAGCATGTGCCCCTGACTGAAATCGACCCCTGGACCCTTCAGTCCGCAGGCCAACGCTCTATCCACTGAGCCAAACCAGCAAGTGTGATAGATGTATTTATTGCCATTTTATTGTTCATATTTTTTGACCCTCCTCTTCCTTCTTCAAGAAGATCCTTTAACATTGCTTGTAATAATGATTTGGTGGTGATAAATTCCTTTAGCTTTTTTTTGTCTGAGAATCTCTTTGTATGTCTTTCAATTCTAAATGAGAGCCTTGTTGAGTAATCTTGGTTGCAGATCCTTGCTTTCCATTACTTGGAATATAAGAAGCCAATTTCTTCTGGCCTGCAAAGTTTCTGTTGGGAAATCAGCTGACAATCTTATGGGAGCTCCCTTATAGGTAACTAACTGCTTTTCTCTTGCTGCTTTTAAGATTTTCTCTTTGTCTTTCATCTTTGGCATTTCAATTATGATGTGTCTTGGTATGGGTCTTTTGGGGTTCATCTTGTTTGGGATGCTCTGTGCTTCCTGGATTTGTGTGTCTATTTCATTCACCAAGTTAAAGAAGTTTTCCATCATCACTTGAAGTTGTCCCAGAAGCTTCTTAACCTATTCTTTTTTTTTTTCATTTCTTTTTGCTGTTCTGATTGGGTAATTTTCTGCTTTCTTATCTTCCAAATCACTGATTTGATCCTATGCTTCATCTACTCTACTGCTGATTCCTTGTAATATATTCTTAATTTGTTATTGTAGACTTCATTTCTAACTGGTTCTATTTTATGTTTCCTATCTTTGTTGAAGTTCTCACCAAGATCCTTGAGTATCCTTATAACCAGTGTTTTGAACTGGTAGATTGCTTATCTCATTTTGTTTAGTTCTTTTTCTGGAGTCCTGTTCTGTTATTTTATTTGAAACATGTTTCTTTTTCTCATTTTGGCAGCCTCCCTGAGTTTGTTTCTATGTTTTAGGCAGAGCTACATCTCAGGTCTTGGTAGAGTGGCCTTATATAGTAGGTGTCCTGTAGGACCCAGTGGCACAGACTCCCCAGTCACCCAAACTATGCACTCCAGATGTGCTCCCCATGTGGACTGTGTGCACCCTTCTACTGTAGTTGACTCCTGATTGCTGTTGGCATGTCAATGAGAGGGATTTTCCCCCCAGGTCAATTGGCTGCAAGGACTTTCCACAACCACCATGGAGGACATGCTGTGCAGTGGTCGACCCCATGGAGTTGGACTCACTTAAGAAGGGCTCTAATGCCTGCTGAGTCCACCCCTTGGGTGTGCTGCTCATGGAGGTGGTTGGATGGTGCTTCAGCGTGGTGTGAAGCTGTCCACTGGGTGCGCTGGCTTTGGGGCCTACCGGGAGTTGCAAGCCAAAGTCAACTGCCATCTGTGTCCTGCCCAGGATGACCTGTCATGAGCTACAAAGCAATCTGCAGATGGCTGCTACGTGTGCTGGGCTTGAGGTGCCTAGAGCAGGCCAAGCTAAGGCTGGCAGCCTCAAACTAAGGCTGGTTGCCACTAATGCCAAGCCTGGGGCCACTTACCAAGAGGTATGAGGCATGCCAAGATCAGAAGCTCCGTGAGAGATTTTAAAAAAGTTGGTAGCATGAGCCAAGACATGGTATGTTTCTTTTTTTAACCACAATATTTTCCCCTGCCTAACTTTTTGTCTGAGAATCTCTTTGTATGTCTTTCAATTCTAAATGAGAGCCTTGTTGAGTAATCTTGGTTGCAGATCCTTGCTTTCCATTACTTGGAATATAAGAAGCCAATTTCTTCTGGCCTGCAAAGTTTCTGTTGGGAAATCAGCTGACAATCTTATGGGAGCTCCCTTATAGGTAACTAACTGCTTTTCTCTTGCTGCTTTTAAGATTTTCTCTTTGTCTTTCATCTTTGGCATTTCAATTATGATGTGTCTTGGTATGGGTCTTTTGGGGTTCATCTTGTTTGGGATGCTCTGTGCTTCCTGGATTTGTGTGTCTATTTCATTCACCAAGTTAAAGAAGTTTTCCATCATCACTTGAAGTTGTCCCAGAAGCTTCTTAACCTATTCTTTTTTTTTTTCATTTCTTTTTGCTGTTCTGATTGGGTAATTTTCTGCTTTCTTATCTTCCAAATCACTGATTTGATCCTATGCTTCATCTACTCTACTGCTGATTCCTTGTAATATATTCTTAATTTGCTATTGTAGACTTCATTTCTAACTGGTTCTATTTTATGTTTCCTATCTTTGTTGAAGTTCTCACCAAGATCCTTGAGTATCCTTATAACCAGTGTTTTGAACTGGTAGATTGCTTATCTCATTTTGTTTAGTTCTTTTTCTGGAGTCCTGTTCTGTTATTTTATTTGAAACATGTTTCTTTTTCTCATTTTGGCAGCCTCCCTGAGTTTGTTTCTATGTTTTAGGCAGAGCTACATCTCAGGTCTTGGTAGAGTGGCCTTATATAGTAGGTGTCCTGTAGGACCCAGTGGCACAGACTCCCCAGTCACCCAAACTATGCACTCCAGATGTGCTCCCCATGTGGACTGTGTGCACCCTTCTACTGTAGTTGACTCCTGATTGCTGTTGGCATGTCAATGGGAGGGATTTTCCCCCCAGGTCAATTGGCTGCAAGGACTTTCCACAACCACCATGGAGGACATGCTGTGCAGTGGTCGACCCCATGGAGTTGGACTCACTTAAGAAGGGCTCTAATGCCTGCTGAGTCCACCCCTTGGGTGTGCTGCTCATGGAGGTGGTTGGATGGTGCTTCAGCGTGGTGTGAAGCTGTCCACTGGGTGCGCTGGCTTTGGGGCCTACCGGGAGTTGCAAGCCAAAGTCAACTGCCATCTGTGTCCTGCCCAGGATGACCTGTCATGAGCTACAAAGCAATCTGCAGATGGCTGCTACGTGTGCTGGGCTTGAGGTGCCTAGAGCAGGCCAAGCTAAGGCTGGCAGCCTCAAACTAAGGCTGGTTGCCACTAATGCCAAGCCTGGGGCCACTTACCAAGAGGTATGAGGCATGCCAAGATCAGAAGCTCCGTGAGAGATTTTAAAAAAGTTGGTAGCATGAGCCAAGACATGGTATGTTTCTTTTTTTAACCACAATATTTTCCCCTGCCTAACTTTGGGCCTTTGATTAACAGGAGTCTGGTCTAAGAAAACTGTTCTAAGCTGGTGATTTTCAGTAACCCGCTTTCTTTTTAGCAGAAATGGTCTATTTTCCCCAAAATTACATATCACATAAAATCTCAATAAAGAAAACCATAAAACAGAACTACTTTGATTTAATTAGAAAGTAGGAGAGCCAGAATAATACACACTCAGCCATCTTGCCTTGCCAGCATTTATGGTTCTTCCAAGGAACTTGGGCATTCTAAATAGTTTTACAATCACTGTTCTAGTAAGCTTTAAATCCATACCTCCATGATATGCAGGAATCTGTCTTCAGAGGGTGGGTGTGTGGCCTGCAAAATCCGCCATATGTGTTGAGTTTCATCTAGAGATACTTCCAGGAGATCTCCAATCATCATAAGTTCTTCCAGCTGGGCTTTAGCTCCAGGTGACAACTCCAACACTGGAGGCTCTAAACTTCGGGGCACCAAAGGGCTCTTCCGTGGCTGTTTCCTTGGGGTGCTAGAACCTTTCCAAAAATTTGTAAGACAAAATAAAAATGAAAAACTATGAAAAAAATGTAATGTTTCCAAAGTAAATAATTAGGGGAATGGTTCTTTCACCCCCAATAATTTAGACATTCTAATTGATTGCATCAGTATTAAAGTGAAAATGAAATTAAAAACAAATATGGAACAAAAAGATCTAGAATTCTAATACGCACTCTAAAATATTGGTTTAGAATACAAAACTGGTTCCTTATTGTTTATCCTGTGACTGAAGAAGGGGAATCTGTAATAATAAAAGCACAATATGCTAATTAGACCGGACGGCCAAAGGACCTTCCAGACAACCTTCCGGACAAAGCCAGGGCTGTGAGGGCCGAGCCCCTTGCATGAATTTTGTGTAGCGGGCCCCTAGTAGAAAAGAATCTCTTAACCCATGCTCTCTTCCTTTTAGAGGATACCAACAGATTAAGCATATACCTGCCCTACATAAGTAAGTGATTATTTTTCTAATGAACAGACAACAAACACAGCTGACCCTTGGACAGGCAGGTTTGAACTACAAAGAGCATGGCCCACTTATATATGAATAACTGTGTCCACTTTAAAGCAGATTTTAAAAATTGGTGTATAAGTGGACCTGTGCAGTTCAAATTCAAGGGTCAACTATTTTTTTGTTTTTGTTAATCTTTGGCCAAGGATATTTTATTATTGATTTTTAGAGAGAATGGAAGGGAGGGAAGAAGGGAGGCAGAGAGGAGAGGGAGTGAGGGGGGAGGGGGAAAGGGAGAGAAAAACATGGATGTGAGAGAGACATATCAATTGGTTGCCACCCACATGTGCCCTGACCAGGGCCAGGGATTGAACCTGCAACTTAGGCACATGCCCTTGACCAGGAATCGAACCCATGATCCTTAGATGCACGGGCCAAGGCTCTACCACTGAGACACCCCACCCAGAGCAGGTCAACTGTATTTTTTATCTGAGATTGAGAATCTGTGTATGCACAGGGCTGGCTTAAGTTATGTGCTAATTTTTGACTGACGGTGAGTCAGTGCCCCTAACCCCTGCACTGTTCAAAGGTAAATTGTAATATGCTGTCCCATAAAATTCTGAATTTTACTATGAAGAGATGAACACCCTCCATTTTCCAGAGGTGTATCCTAAAGCAATGTGATTTATTTTCACTGGGGAAAAAGTGAACATAACAGAGAAATTATATACAAAGAAAAGGAAAAACTTTCTAGCAATTAAAGCTTTCCGAAACTAGAATGAATATTCTTAAAAAGCAGCAAGTTCCTTAAGAACTCATAATGAACAAAAACAAAAAAAGACTAAATGATTCCTTATCAGAGATTTTATAAAAATGAGAGATGGGACTAGATGGCCTCTAAAGTTCTTCTAATTAGAATTCAATAATTCTATGTAAGTTTTCAGATTATCAACCTAATGACAGAAAATGCAAATAGGGACGTTTTCAGGTTTTAATAAAATTTCACGGCAAAGATTATGTATTTAAGAGGGATGCACAGTCTTGATTAATACAATGGTTTTTTTCTCACTGGTTTCAGGCTAATCTTCTCCACAATGTTTTAAAGGGTAATACCTTGAGAACAACTCTTAGAAGCAGAAGAATAAGCATGTTCTGCACAGAATGAAGGAGCTGTCCACATGTGAGTGACCACCTCCTCAGACTTGATGGGAATCTCTTCATCACAAAAAAGATTGGGTTCCAGACTACTGGAGGACTTCACACTGGCTGTGTCCTGAAGAAGAAACAAAGAGGGGTATTAAAAATTAGAACCACTTGTGCCTCTCAAAGCCTAAAATAATTAATATACATAATAATATTATATATTAATAAGCATTAATATGTTAATATATTTATTACTTCACAGAAAATGTTTACAAAGCCCTGGTGTAGAGTCCTACCCCCAGCAGCACAAAAATTATAAAAGAGTGAGTTAGGAGAAAGATAAAAGCTTAATGACTAATATAATACCTGATTCTCCTTGTAGGGTGCATGAAATTATCCTTAATTAAACAGGGTACTTAAAAGGTTTTATAACAGGATTCTGGAAGACAATACCACTCACTGAAAATTTAGGGATAGCAGTTCATTATCTTCTTCCCTATTCAAACAAATTCTAAAAAGTAACACATCTGTACTATAGCCTGCACCATCTGTTGCTTTTTAGAATGGAATTGTCTTTTCTGACCTTAATTCTACTCATTTCATTGTAACTCAAGCAGGAAACTTTGTTAGGCTTTCAAAGTGGAAAGAATGGTGAACAGGAGGTAATGAAGGAAAATCATAAGTAAGAAGAACAAATTTAAAAAGTTACTTCCCCAAGTGAAGTATGAAATGTTAAGAGGTACAATATTGACTTTGATAAGTTAAAGATAAATTGTTAGCCCTAGAGGAAACACTGAAAAAAAATTAAATAAATACAAAAATATAAGAAACCAATAAAAAGTAAAATAAAGGAACAAAAAAAAGGGGGGGGGGGCGCTTAATAAAAAATAAATAGCAAGAACCCAGCCAGCATGGCTCAGTGGTTGAGGGTCGCCCTATGAACCAGGAGGTCACAGTTCAATTCCCAGTCAGGGCACGTGCCCAGGTTGCAAGCTCGATTCCCAGTGTGGGACATGCAGGAGGCAGCCAATCAATGATTCTCTCTCATCATTGATGTTTTTTCTCTCCCACTTCCTTCCTCTCTGAAATCAATAAAAATAAATAGCAAGATGGCCAACTTAAACCCAACCATGTCAACAATGATATTAAATGTAAATAGACTAAACACCCCCAATGAGAAGACAGATCATGTTACTTAAAAAAAAAACCCCACAAAAAACAAGACTCAACCATATATTTTAAGTTACATATATATGCAGAATACAAACAAGAAAGGACCCTATTTACATGCTATCTCAAGAGACACATTTTAATTATGTAGACACAGATAGGAGGAACCAAGATGGCAGCATAGGTAAATGCCGGTACTCATTGCATCCCACAACTATGTCAAAATTACAACTAAAATACAGAACAACCATCATTAAGAACCGCATGAAAGCTAGCTGAATGGAAGTCCTACAACTAGAGAAGTAAAAAAGAAAGCACGTTGAAACTGGTTAGGAGGGGTGAAGGCATGGATTGGGCTGGTCCAGCACCCATGTAGGCTGTTTTTATAATCCAGAGGGAGATCGTCCCTGCAGAGGCCCCGTGAGGAGCAAAGGGTCCCAGCCCCACACCAGACACCCCCCCACACACACACAAACCCAGGGTCCCAGAGCTGGGAAGAGAAGTCCCCGTAAATTCAGGCTGTAAAAACCAGCAGGGATTGTGGCCGAGGGACACGAAGGCTGCCAGAGACTCAGGTGTTCCTCTTAAAGGGCCAGGCACAAACTTACTCGGACTCGATTCCTCTGAGCTCCAGTGCCAGGAGAAGTTATGGGACCCAGACACATAAGAGGAAGAACTGAATTATCTGGCATCAGGGCAGGAATTTGGGAGCAGCTTGCTACCAGACGGAGATGCTCACCAGAGTCATTGTTCCTAGGCCATGAACTCCCCTGTTCCAGGGCTGACTGGCAATCATATGTGAGTCCCCATCAACCTGGAGTACACTGTTTGCTCTACCCTGGTGATTCTCTGAGACCCTGCCCAAACCAATTTGCAGCCCCACTCAAGCTGTTTGCAGCAGCTTTTTGATAGGAATGGCTTATCCTAGCTCAGGCCTCAGACTTTGCTAAAATCTCTCAAAAAAGCTGCAGCTGGTGTCAGCATGCCTAAATCTATACTAATAAAAGGTAATATGCTAATTAGACCAGACATCCTTCCAGACAAAGCCTCAGTGGCGGGGGCTGAGGCAGTTAGGGGCGATGAGGCTGGCGGGGAGGGCAAGTTAGGGGCGACCAGGCCAGCAGGGGAGGGCAGTTAGGGGCAACCAGGCTGGCAGGAGAGGGCAGTTAGGGGTGATCAGGCCGACAGGCAGAGTGGTTATGGGCGATCAGGCAGGCAGGCAGGTGAGCGATTAGGAGCCAGTGGTCCTGGATTGTGAGAGGGATATCCCCCGAGGGTTCCCGGATTGGAGAGGGTGCAGGCTGGGCTGAGGGGACTTCTCCCAACCCCATGCACGGATTTCGTGCAACAGGCCTCTAGTTTATCAATAAAAGGTCCAAGATCCAGCACCAGCCTGCCTTACTTCACAGCTGAGCCTCACCTGGGTATATCCAAATCCGATACAAATAGGAGTAATCTGCAGATTGCTCTGTAGCTCCTGCCAGGTGGCCCCAGGCAGTCGCTGATTTTGCACCTCCCTGGAGAACCTAGAGCCAGTGCATCTGGTCGACAGCTTCAGACCATATCAGATTACAACTCTTCACATCCCTAAGTGACACACTCAAGAGGCAGACTCAGTGAGCACCAAAGCCCCACTGAAGCAAGTCCTACTCCATAGGGGTGTTTCCTGCACAGCAGCTCTACCACTGTAGTCACAGCTGGTCCTCACAGCCAATTGGCTTGGAGGTCAATTCCTCCCAGTGACACCAACAGCAATCAAGTCTCAACTACAACAAGACTGTGCACTCAGCCCACAAAGGACTGCATCTAGAGTGCCCAGCTCAAGTGACTGGGGAGGCTGAGCAACTGGGCCCCTATAGGATACCTACTACACAAGGCCACTTTACCAACTCCAGGAGACATTGCAGCTCTATCCAATACATAGAAACAAACACAGGGAAGCAGCCAAAATGCAGAGACAAAGCAACATGTCACAAATAAAAGAAATGAAAGAAAGCAAACCACGGTTATAAGGTTACTCAAGGAACTTTATGAGACCTTCAAGAGACTTAGTGAGACTTTCAAGGATCTTAGTAATAATGCCAAAGACATGGAAAAGGACCAGTCAGAAATTAAGCATACACTAACTGAAATAAAGAATAATTTACAGGGATTCAACA